TGTCACGCCCTCCGCGCCTCGCGCGCCCCGCGCCTCGCAAGGCCTCACGGGAGCGCCAGCCCGCGCACGCGCAGAGCGCCGGGGCGGGGCGCGGTGGTCTGCGCAGGCGCGGCGTCGGGAGCCGCGGGGCTTTCTTGCTCCTCCGGGCGGCCTACTGTCCTGCTCGCACTTCTGTCCCCAGCGAGCCTCCCAGGCCACACCCTCCAATGACACTTTGTGGGGAGAAAGGAAGCGCCCAGGTTGGTGTGAGAGCGCCGGCTGCAGCCGAGCGATCAGCAGGGCCTGGTACATTCTAGCGGTGATTTGCTGTAGAATCTTTTACAGGGACACTATTTTGCAGCAGCACTTAAGCACTGAGCAAAACCTCACGTGACCTCACGTGTCCACTAAGCAGAAGCCGACTTCTTCCAGAACCCCGTTCTCAAAATGTTAAGAATATACCTCATATACACATAGAGTGGCTACGTGTCGGAGATGTAGTTCACTCAGGAAGGCTGGAAACCTGTTGCCAAGCAGGATGCGTGTGGAGTCAACGCTGAAATCAATGAGTCAGTGCTGAAATCAGATTGCTAAACTCGATGCAAAGCTGGTTGATGTCTTAACAGTCCAGTGAAACCAGACCTTTTGGGTTATCATTTGTATTTGGACATATTTTGTATTGGACAGAATTCGTTTGCCTCTCTACCAGACAAAAATAACTTGCAAACTACCAGTCTTCTACAAGTTAATCTAAATCTGCACGGTGTGGTCTTTGGTCGTTAGTGAATAGTCAGTATTACCCTCCCCCAGTGTCCAATGACCCTAAGGTGGCATGTTAGGCAATATTCTAGTCTAGTGTGACCAGGTAGAAGTCTTTCTGGATAGTTTTTCTATATTTTAAAGAGAGAAAAAAGAGTGTTCTAAGACAGATATTGTGAATTAATCTTGAGTCAAAGATATTTCCCATTAATTCTTCATTTGTTTTACTTTTTTATCCTCCCCTTTTAAAAGCCAAAAAAGCCTAAAATGTTGTGAAAAACAAACATAGAGGAAAAAATTCACGGAGTGGGACCCAGCCTGGAGGCAGGGAAACCAGAGGAGCTGGACCAGGGAGGCCTGGTGAGGGTCACTGGACCAGGTTGGAAGTGGGGGGCATGTATCAGGGGAGGGGAAGTCAAGTGGGTTCAGCCAGGAGGAAGTGGAGGCTGTGCAGGCGGAGACTTCAAGAAATTTTGCTGAGGAGGCAGAGACATGGAGGGAGAGAAGGAACGAGTGACACAAGATGAGGGGGTGGGAACGCAGGGCTGAGGGGAGCACTTTGCCTTTTGTTTTGTTTTAAAATGGGAGGAACTTGGGGATATTTGTAGACTGTGAGGAGGAACTCAGAGGAGACAGAATTAAAGATGCCAGAAAGAAAAGGGGCTACTTTATAGAAAGATATCCCTGGGGAGCAGGAAGAGTGGACTCCAGAGCCCCGGAGGCAGTTCTAGAAACCCACTTTTCTAGTGACTCCTGGGTGGTTTGTCAGGCCCACAAATTCTCCATCTGATTTTTAATTGCTGACCGTAGTTGTTCGTTTGAAAGGTGTTTATGGGATCATAAAAAGCTATAAAAATATAAAGTAAAATTACAGTGGTATCAGCCCCCACAGTACACATAACCACCACAACAGGCTTAACTATACAGACTTGGAAGGTTTTCTTGACCTTGCATTTGGAATTTAAGAAAGCAAATATGTTACATTTATTTCCAGGACAAGCTTGCTTTCCTCCAATCAAAATCATTTGGGGTTTTAGTGGGGTCAAAAGATAAAGGGAACCTAAGAATTAATCCTTCTTGAGAAAGCCCATAAAAATATAATGGATCTAAACACAGGGCTGTGAGGATCAAGTGTTTTCGCTATTTGCTGTTTCTCTTTCCTGTGGGAAGCTTTTTTCTCCTATTGATTAAAAAGTATTTTAAGTTTTGGACAATGTCTTTTCAAACCATTTAAAAACTTTAGAAGTAACAGTCCAATATTAAAGATTATTTGATTTTAGATGTAGCTTTCAGTGAAGGTGGCAAGACTGTATTTCTGCAAGCAATGGGGAATGAGAATCATTTTTAGGCAGGGGAGTGACATTCTCAGACCTGTGTTAGAAGCATGATTCTGCAGAACAGAAGTGACAAAAGGTGGCAAGAGAAGAGATGCAGCTTCTGCAGTGAGGGGGAGAAGAGGAGAGAGAACTGGCTCAGGAGCAGCAGACCCTGGAGGCCTGGAGGGCCAGTGAGAGGTGGTCGGAGAGACTCTTGGTTTCCATTTGAGCAAGAAAGTGGCATTTCTTCCTATTAATCCTTCCTATTAAGAAGAAAGCAAAAGCCCATGCTTATACCACGGGTTTGGAGGAGTGTGGGAGAAGAGAGTTTGTTTTCCATCACGTTGACATTCATGTGACAAAAGTGAAAACTCAGTCCCCAAACTCAGGAGTAGGTTTGGGTCAGCACCACCAGGAAGGAGCTCACCAAGGTGGCTGGGTGGAGAGGGCTGGCAAGGATGGGGGAGCAGAGGAGCGTCGGAGGGGCGTGGGGACTGTAAAGGACCTCGGGATAGGCTGAGGAGGCTGAAGGCAATGAGGAAGGACAGGTTGAGAGCCCCTGCAGCTCAACAGGCAGTGGCATAACCCATTACATTCTGGAAAGATGCCTGTGGGGCCAGTGTGCACTGTGGCTGGCCTGGCTAGGGATTGGGAAAGGAGGAATGGAACAGTGTGCAAAGGCCCTGCCGGCAATTAACCCAGATTAGACCAGCACCTAACTTGGGTGGCCATAATCCCAAAAACGTGATGGGAAGGGACCTAGGGGACTCAAGGCCCACTTCCCAGAGGAGGCCTCCCTGAGCTGGGCCATGAGGTCCAGCTGGTGAGTGCAGAGAGACAGGTGGGGTGGGTGGC